AAGAAAAGCGTCCGCGCATTCTAACTAAATCATCTTATCTAATTATTCCATGAATAACTGAAATTATTTATGCTATATTCGAATAAATCAATTCCCTCAATTTCCCTGGGAAAATTATAGCCAGATGTTTCGAAATTATTACCTCCCTACTTCCATAAAAAAGATTTTAATATATCGCATTTTGAAATCACCAGGGATTGGGTCCGAAGTTAATAATCATAGGGGATACTAAACTTAAAATGAGCATACATATTTTAACATCGCCGGAGTTTCAAGTCTTTTGAAAAATACTGACATAGCAATTTTAAAGAAGTCCATATATTACTGCATTCTTAAAAATTTTCGATTAAATTTAAGAATAAAAATTAGTTTTCTGAAAGACATTGTTAACAGTCTTAAACATAATAACTGATAGGACAGGGTCTGTCCAGAAAGTAATGAGTATAAAATTCATTTTATTTGAAGATAATTTCATAGAAAATTAATATTCTTCAAAATAGCCTTTCCTTGCATTAATACACCGTAATCAATGACTCTGCCATCCACTGATGTCCGTCTGGAAGACTTCACTTGGAATGCTATTCAGAACGCGTGTTACGCTTTTCTCCAGATTGTCAAATTGATGACTTTTAAGCTGGGTTTTAACTAACGGAATAGAACAAGTTTCGGCGGCGACAGATCGGAGCTGTACGGTCGTTGGGGTAGCGTTGTAACATTGTGTTTTGCCAGGAACTGAGTCACTTTGAAGGATGTATGGACCAGTGAGTTGTGGTAGTGCAGAATCCAGTTGTTTGTGAGCTCCAGAAGGAAGCCTACGATTAGATTCTTCAACCTTTGAAGCAGTTCTTTGTAAAAATCTGCATTAACTGTCTGTGCAGGTGGCACGAACTCTTTGTGCACTCTTCCCCAAAGAAGGCAATGAGCATGGACTTTTGCTTTTGATTTGCTAAGTCGAGCTTTCTCTTGACGAGGGTATTGGGGCGTGTGCCACTCTGCACCCTATCTCTTTGTTTCGGGATGACACTGAAACACCCATGTTTCGTCGCCGGCAATCACTCGCTTCAAAAAATTAGGATCACTTGTTACATACTCCAGTAATTCACGAAAAATCAACTCACGGTTTTCCTTCTGTTCTATTGGTTAAAATCCTTTTAATATGCTTGGGACAAATTTTCCGCATTTAAAGTTCTTTGCTGACGATTTGATACATAAATGATTATGTAAGTCCCAATGTCTCGGATACTCATCCGACGATCAGAGTCCAAAAGGGCTTTAATTTTAGCGACATTGTCTGACGTTCGAGAACTTGATGGGCGCCCTGTGTGTTGTTCGTCATCGACTTCCTCTCTTTCGTGCTTGAAGGCTTTGTGTCACCTAAAACTTGAGACTTGGATAAAGAATCCTTCCCATAGGCTTCTCGTAACATGACGAGTGTCTCAGCAGCTGATCTAGTTAGTTTTAGGCTAAACGTTAGGGCGTATCGCTGCTCGACACTCCGCTGTATTCTGAAAAACCTAACGCCACTTTCTAACGTGTGTCTACTTCCCGAACGATCTAGGGGCTGCAAAGGTTCAAGGCCAGTCCGACTTTGATCAGACTTTGTAGCTGACAGCCCCCACTATCCGTACTGCCCACAATTTCCACCCTTTCGGCCTTTTGCTTGACGCAAAACATTCAGTCTCATTACTGTCTGGACTGATCTTAACATGATAAACTTCATTATGCTTAAAATTACCTTATTTAGTAGCATTTAATTTCCTTTCTTGCCGATGCTTATATCAACCAGCAGATAAAAATATGTCGTATTTATGTGTGTACTTTGTGGATGATTGAATGATTGTCTCTAGAAAGGCAGACGTTGCTGCTAAATAAATTTACTGAGATTTATCCAGCAGTGGTTGCTCTCATATGAAATAATAAGATAATATGACATATCTTAGACAAAGAGTATTCAGGGCAGTTTCATCTCTATTTTAGCATGCTTTGCTGTTTAAGAATTTAATTCTGTAAGAAGCTGTCAGATTTCATGTATACTGATACCTTAAAAGATTATGAAGTGGTGCAGTGGTATCAGAGTCTGTTCGATACGTAACGTCTTGGCAGCATGTGGGTATTCTAAAATTTCAATTAAAAACGAACGTAAAACATTTGTTTCATAAACTAAAGGTTTATGAAATTGATGTAAACTGTTTTCCAAAAGTACAACAGAACAGGTTGTCGGTTAACATTCGTGAGCATGTGAGCTCGAAATCCTCTCATTTGGATACCATAACAAAGGGGCAATGTGTTTTTTCAGTTGAGTTGGAGGTTTGATCAAAATCAATAAGAGCGCCGGGTATTAAATAGCGGGCCAGAAATGCCCACAACGTTGTGTTTAATTTAGATTACTTGAATATGATAAAGCACACGAAGTTTATCTGCCTAGGATGAGGAATGCCTTCGTAGAAAACTTTCAGAGGAAAAGGTCTCGTATTCACGTTACAGATGTTACACGGGTAAAACCAAGAAAAGCATCTATGCAGCCAGCTTGTTTTCCTGAATTCGAAACCGGTCCAACTATCAGTATACCAATATTCAGTTGTCTTAATCCCTCGGCCACAGGTGGGCAAGAATCACAGTTATAATGCTTTCGATTTGAATGATTGGTAAGCTTTGTTCCTATGAACTACATCCATCTCCACTTTGGTTTTCTACGGCTGTACAGAGATTGAAAACCATATGAGATTAAATTCATGAGAAATTGTTTTTTCATATCGTGTTATCGGCTTGATGCTATTTTTTTGGTTAAAGCTTGATGTTAAAAGGGTTAAAAAATGAGTTTATGACGATGGTATTTTCAAGAAGTACTTGTAATCTGAAATACTGTTTTGTATGTAATGGCCACTGAGACCATTTCACTAGTACCTCACTGGTACCTGACAGAATAGGTATGTGAATGCTTGATAGAATAGGTATGTGAATGCTCTGTACAAATTCAAAGAAGTGTAGAAAGTGCAGTTTTTTGATATTCACACAGCGATCTTGATTCGACATTGTCATGGGGCTTTGTTTCCGTCATAAGTCACTATACGCAGTATTAACAGGACAGGCTTGGAGGATGCCGCAAGATATGGGTCTCGACTGAGGTGGCATTCATATGGGTAATGTGATAAATCAGTATGCACAGTGTTCACAAACTTCATCACCAAATTTTCGGACACAGTATTGTTTAAGTCAGTATTGTTTAGGATTGTCAGTATTGTTAGTATTGTCAGGACACAGTATTGTTTAGGTATTGTTTAAGTCACTGCTTATTGCTAATGCCTCCTTTAGGTGTTTTTGATATATCCAGTTTTCTACACATACACACACGCGCGTGCGCTGAAACACACATGTGTATGTGCATATATATCTATATATTATATAACATATAATGCATAAAATCAAAATTAAAACTTTAACTATTAAAACTAATTAAATAAGTTTATTTATTAATTAATTTATTAAAACTTTAATTGTTAAAACTAATTAAATAAGTTTATTAATTACTTTATTTATTAAAACTTTAATTTGCATTAGTTTTTGGCTTCCTATTTTAATTTGGTTAGTTACCCTTTCTGTGCTAAAAATAGTAACTGCTTATAATAAACTTCTCTAAAGTGCATCCTTTCAAAATTAATTACTGTTAGATGATTCTTGCACAAAGTTAATGACACAAACCCTTAATACTACTTCAGTCGGTTAATAATTCAAAATTTGGAAATAGAATTTTTAACAACTAATGCATATGAATCTTAGCTGACCTTATGAACCGGGATTTTATCTTAGAAATATTGCATTCATTTTTCATTCTCTGTCTATATAGGCTTACTTAACGCAATGTATTATACACATTATACACATAATATATGTGTACTGTATGTTAATGTACAAGCCACCAAACAAAAGATAATTTTGTTTTGCTTGGTGATTTGTTTTGCTTGGTCATCATACCGTTTCGGTTTTACAGATTACTAAGTTTTCAAAAAATATTTTAAATTAATTAATTTTCCACTTGTGAAAAATTTTTAACTTTCCATCTTTAATATGCATTGGAATAATTTCAAGTTACGTGGAGAAATATTGAATTTATAAATATTTACATTTGTTTTTCAACAATGCTTCATTTTACAGGAACTTAGTATCATATTTAATTCCCTGTATCTATTTTGCTTCTTCACTGCTTTTCTCCTCAGTCTAAATTAATACATTTTATTCTGGAATTTCATTTATAAAGATTTTGCATTTTCAAAATTTCGGCAATTTTACCTTTTTTGAGGTTTTGATTTCTACATTTGACTTTTTCTGAGAGTTTAGTGCAGCATACCATTTTGCTTTTACAAGTTACTAGAGTTAAAATAAATCCGAGTTTTAAATTAGTAAAATTAACCTCTTGTTAAAAAATTTTGATTATTCGTGTATTTTGTTTATTGTGACACTAATTTGGACAGACTATATCTGATGATTTTTGTGTGTTTTATAATGAAAATTTCAAAAGTAAACGTTTTAAGCTTAAAAAATCTTTAAGTTTTAAGAAACGGGCTTCTATTGATAATACGTTCGTCTGCAAAGACCAAAGCGTTATCAAATATTACTATTTATTTTATCTGAAATTTTTTTCATTAATTTCTTTTCTCTTCTCTCTCTATATATAGTTTTACTTTCATTTTGCATGTATTGTGTCTTCCTACTGCAGAGTTAGGCGTTTTGGGTTTATATTATTTTCTATTTATTTTATCTCTTTCTTAAATATTTAATTAATTTTGCAGCATTTTGAACAAAATAATTAGTTACTAACAGTTATCAATTTGTGATTTGTTTGTAAATACATATATGGATTTGATTTTATTTTTAATTAGATTAAAAGTTTTTCTTTTATTTTTGCTCTTTAGCTTCTCAGCACGAATGTATGCAACAGTCAAGCTTTTATCAATCATAGATTCGATCAGTGACAGCGATGCGTAAAATCACTAAACAAATAGTATTTTTGAAAATAAATAATTTATTTGTTGTTTTACACAGTTCATTATCATTATTTACATCCTTTTTTTTTTTTACTGGAAACATTCAGGCATATTACCAAACACAAATTTTAAACAACAATCACTGATACACATTTCAACCAATAATTAGATAAATCAGCGATATTAAAATCCGTCATTTTGTATTCAATTATTACCACATTTTGTTTCATTGGTCTAATTAAATTTCACCCACATTTGGTTGAAATTTTAGCTTAAATTACGTAACATATGAAAGACAGTTCATTAAATTAGTTAATTTTCGTAGATCATGTATATCAATTACCTTTATTGTTAGTGGGAAATTCGAAATTACCATAAAAAGTTCCTTTAAGTAATTCATAAACATTATTTAATGTAAAATATTATCAGCGAGATCATACTAAATGGAATGAATTACGTTGAATTTTAGTAGGATTTAGCGTTACTATTTCGGTAATATTAAGTTTAATGTGGTGTGTTGTAGCTAGGTTATACGTATATAGATGTGTTATAGATAGTTTTAATACGTACAAGCTTTTATGTGATGTATTTTATGCAGCTGATAGCTTTAATACATAACAAAATACAATAAAACTTTTTTAATGCCACTACCCGCAATTTCAGACGATTTGACAGTTTGTGGACATGTTCTCTTAGGGAAATGATGTTTAATACTGATATTTATTTAAGTTCTGTTACGTTCTATTAAACTTCAGAAGTGATCGTCTACGGTAACTTATAGTAGCAAACACTAGCCTTGCGAAGATTCCTCTACAGCTTCCTTAAATACGGTTAGGATTTATATTTCTATATACAATTTTCTAAAAACGGAATTATTAAAAATTTCTTGTGCAATCACGAGCCACAGAATACTCAGTACGTAAGAAATAAATCATTATGCCATGCCACATAATGATTCGACATTATATCAATATCATAAGGGTATGATGTTATGTTACGTGACATAAGGTTATGACCCTAAAACAAGGATTGTGTAATCATTATGTCAAGGGGAAAAATGGCACAGTCACTGTTATTTATAATGATATCGTCAATTGTTCAGATCTCATATCATCTCATACGACATAAAGGAGTGATAAAAACTTCCATCAGTGCATCCACATACATTATACGACTTTCTTTGCAATTACACTGGCATCGATATGCTTCAGAGTTTAACTTCTTTATTTTATTCCATACCTTTAATAAAGGAAATATCACTTTAAATAAACTGAATGATCTGGATATTAGTCAGGCGTTTAATTTATCTTGATGTCTTGTTTTGAGCTAGGGCTAGAGCTGGTCTTCCATACTATCTTATTTAATATCCATATTTCATTCCATATTTCTCTTATTTTCAGGCAAAATACTTTAAACGCTCATTTCATTAATGATTATTAACTTATCCTCCTCACACTGAATGAAGCTGAAAATCTACAGAGATTATATCCTGTTGACTTTATTCGTATCCTTTTCTCTGGGAAACTGGTCTTACAATTCGTGTGATAGTTCAAAGGTTCCTCTTCTATTTCAGGTTACTTAATCGCGTGTAGATTTTCTACATTTAGCTATACAAGGAGCCAAGAGCCATGCTAAGCCGCAGATCACAGAAACGATTCCTATGCCGAAGAATATGTAGCTGTAAGATCCAACATCGTCCCGGAAGTAGCCTGAAATTAAAAGAACTCTTGAAAATAATGCATTAAAGGAAATAAGTATGGAAGAACATCATTTTTTTTTTAAACTGATGAAAAGGCAGCTGACAGGCTGAATGAACATAACAAAAGACAAATACAAGAAAAAAAGTGTGCTCTAAAATTTTCTCTGAGAAAAGTACTTAAAATTAATTTCATAGTGAAAAGAATTTCATTGAAACGGACGATCAGAAAATTATAATTATGAATAAATGGAGTTTTAAATGAATGCATCTCATTCCACTAAGAGAAAGATTTGTCTAATCTTAAAAGAAATAATTATAATTTTGCAATATTTGTGGGAGGGAGGGAAGGACAACTAGAATTATTTTGAAATTAAATTTAATTACTAGATAACAATTTCATTTCTAAATGCAGTTCTTGAAATTTAAAATTTTAAAACTGTTTCATTTAAATTATAAAATAATTTCAACAATTATACATTCAGATATTAATTACACATTCAGATATTAATTATACATTCAGATTATATTAGGTAAAGGGAATTGATTAATGTAGAACACACTAAAAAGAGCATACATATATGTGATTACTCTGCTCTAATGGTTATTAATATGCTATACTAATAATACACACGCTGGGCAGTGAATTAGGAGCCCAAGATCAATATGTTATTGGACCACCTTTTGCATAGCTAACTGCCCTGTTTCAATTAGGCACTGAGTTTACATGCTTCTGGAGTGCATTTATGTCTAGAGAATACCATGGATTGATTATGCAGCTTTTTATACCTTGTAAATTAGATTGAAGAGGAGGGTGCAGTTGGATGCGTCTTTCCGACATATCCAACACATTTTCTATGGGTTTATGATCCAGGCTAGGCGGTGGCCAGGGAAGGTGTTGGAAGTCAGAATGATGTTCAGCGAATCAATTTTGAACATTTCCGGCACGATGTATAATTGTGTTACCATCCATGAAGTATCCGTCGCCATCAGGGTAAAAATGCAGCACAGCAGGGTGCACTTGATCTGCTAGTATATCTAGGTATCTCGTGGCAGTTTGTTTATCCTCAAGGAACATCACGGCACCACTTGCATGGCAGCAGAACATGCCCCATATCATGATACTTCCACCCTTGCACAGTGTGAGTAAGCAAGATGGCTTCATGGCTTCATGGAGGTTCTCGCCAAATTCGATGTATTCCATCGATGCAAAATATAGTAATGCAAAATATACCAATGTAAAATATATATTTTATAATTTCGAAGGAAAAGAAATAAAAATTTTGCAGAAGAGTAAGGTTTTTCTACCTTTTTTAATGAGCAATTATCTTAACCTGAGACGATATCTAAAACATTGTGAGTATAAAAGATAATTATCAGATTCTTAGTCTCAAGAATTTTAATTCATTCAAACTTACCAATTAATGGTGCCACTGCGAGACACAACGGTCCAGAAAGAAAGTTACTTGAAGGTATAGCCACTGTCTGTTTATCCTCTTCAATAAATTCAGCAACGATCAAAGGAAATATAAGAATTAAACCTGCTTCAGATAATCCGTAGAAAGCGACAAGAGATATCAGCATAGCAAATCCCGAGGAGAAGGCAACTGCAGTAGCTGCAATTCCTTGGCATATAAAACAGAAAGTTGCGAATCCGGTTTTTGTCATGTAGCCCTCATCAGTTATTCTACCAAGGAAAAGGCGACCAATAAGATCACCAATTGAAAGAGACATTAAAACATATTTTTCATTTGATGTACCAATTCCAACATCTCTTGCGAAGTCTACAATTACGGTAATCATACAAACAAAGGTAAAACAATATATTGCATTTGTGATTGCGATAAGAACAAAAATAGGATCAAATATAATACTGAAGGATTCTAATGCTGATTTCTGTTCGGATCCTTCTGAATCCGATAATATCGTTGGAGTGAAAGATGTAGATGTTTCATACAGAGACTTTTGTGGCGCTATATATTCACGTAGTCGTTCATCAAAATCCTTCTGATAGCTAGAATTGTAATAAGCTTCATTATAACTGTTTGTTGGACGGAAATCGGAATTATTTTTGGGCGATGAAAAATCTGAGCCCATTGATAAAGACCTTAAAGTTCGAAAATAGCTATCCGATGAATTTTCTTTGACATTATGATTTGCGGAATAAAGCGAGATTTGTGAATTTTTATGAAATATTTCATATCTCTCAGAATCCAAATTTTGAGAGTCAGTACTGCTTACTTCACATTCTAGATTAGCTGGATCCATTTGCCTTCTTCCTTTGCTGTTTTTAATGATTTCATCAAATTTTAATGTTTCGGATGTACTCATATGAATGGAATAATCGGAAAGGAGAGTCTGAGTTGATAATAGCTTTATTCTTTCGTCATAAGTCATGACAGGATTTGAAATTTTATTTTGTTGGTCTGAAATATCATCTGTGGCAGATGATTGCTGCAGTTCTTTAATATTTACACCATGAAGTGATACATTCTTTTCTTGGACAGGTATTAAATTATCAGAGTTATTTTCTACCGTGTAGAGTTTGACCTTTTTACCAGCTATAATGCTCTGTTTTTCTTCTTCAACACTTTGTAATTGACTTTTAGATTTTGCAGTGGTAATTATACAATTTGGTTTCTTTAAAAGCAAGGCAGCCGGCACACAATTCAGAACGAATCCTGCTAGGAAAAGATATGTTCCTGACAAACCATATGTGTTGAGCAATATTTCGACAATTGGAGGTAAAATAAATGACCCCAAGCAAGCTCCAGAGAAAGAAATTCCTGATGCTGTAGCTCTGTTCTTGTCAAAATATTGATTAATGGCTACTGGCAAAAGAATATTCCCTAATCCAAATCCAAGACCTGCAAAAGAAATTGGAAATTAAAATTCTTAATAAATATCATACATAAATTGATAATGTGATAAGTAAAATGTTGAGCGTTTTTGAGTAAAATGTTTTAATAATAAAATAAAATGTTGAATGCCAAGAATGGAAACAAAAACTAGTAGTGGAAAATGAAAGTCAAACTCTTTACAATATTTTTTATATCATGCAATATTTTACTACGCAAGAAAACAGCTGGAATAGTTATATTCTTTTAGTGATGTTCTGCAATATACACTATGATTCAATATGTATTGTAGAACAACACTAAAATGAATGCAAAAATCTTCAGATAAATATAAAATTCTTTATGTTTATGGATTTGTTACATTTCTTTTCATTTGTTTCGTAATAACAAGCACCAAAATAATTTATAAGGGGCACCAATTTCTTGTGCAGCGTAAGTTTTCCCACGAAATATTTTGTGCAAAAGAACATTGCCAGAATGCTGGATAGAAGGTAAATATATAATAAGCTTTTAAGTTTGTATCAAAGCACTGTTCATAATAAATTTTGCTATTATTGTATTAATAATATCATATTTATTAATCTTATGAGGTTTAGCAGTTTAACATCATGAATGAATCGTTCATTCAGATGATGCAGTTTAGGAGGAATATATCCAAAAATTCCCAAACTTTGTTCAGCAGTGTTTCAAATGAAAGGAAGAAGTAACTTATTGCTTAAAAAATATATTAGTATTTTTATTAATAAAAATATGTAAAAATGTGTTTTGTTAAATATTAGGCTTTTCTTTGGTCTAAATTACTGAAATAATCAACCACGTCAGACAATAATAAATATAAAAGAAAAGCATTGAAATTGGCATGAATTTCATTGCAGAAACGCCTAACGCATTTAAGGGGACCCATACACCTTAAACCCCTCATGATCTTTGAATATGTGACTGTTGCAAGAATTGGGATATTTTATTTAATTTAAAAGCAATTACTTCCAACTTTTTACAGCTGACTACATAATATAGCTGCTTTGGAAACTAGTAACCAGAAAGTTTGTGCTGCCACACATATTTTTGTAATTTAATCCTCTTTGTGACAAAATTTTCGCCATGTTTCCACCTTGTGCGCATGATATTTTAAAAATGGCTAATGGAACATACTTGAAATTTGAATGGAATTCTTTATATGGGCAATATTTTCGAACTGAACCCAAAATCTGATGAATATTTTAATTATTGAAAAAATTTTATGGAACGAAAAACATTACAAAATTTTTTAATAAAATACTTTTTATAAACTCAACTGCAAAATAAAATAAAAATTTAACATGAAATTTTAAGAATTTTTAGGTCCACAGGTAGTTTCCAAATGTTATAAAAGCTATATATTAAATATGGAATTAAATTATGAAACAGAATGTTTTAAACTGTGCGCGTAAGTTGGAAACATCACGAAAAATGTTGTCACAAAGCGGATTAAATTATAAAAATATTTGTGGTAACACAAACTTTCTGATTACTATTTCAGAAAGCAGCTATATTATGTAGTCAGCTGTAAAAAGTTGGTAGTAATTGCTTTTAAAATAAATAAGTTGTCCCAATTCTTGCAACAGTCACCTATTCGAACATTTTATGGGTTTTAAGGTGTATGAGTCCCCTTTAACCGAAAAAATAGCCTTATGAACGATCGGTTTCGAAATGCAAGGGTTTGAAACACACACACATACCTTTCCCCAAAAGAATTAAAAATTGCATAATTTTACATAGGAAAACATATTTCTTAATTATTTTAATACAAGTAAAATATTCAATATACTACATGTTACATGATTTGTTTTAATTTCTTACTACTTTGCTTTATAAAAAATTATAAGTGTCTAAACATACATTTTGATAAAAGTAAAAATTTTAGATCATCAGTAATTTAAAGAGTTAGTTAAAAAAAAAGAAGATCTGCGAAGGACTCTTTTATGGAAACAGATGTTACATAGTCAAAGGAAATCATGATGTTCAAGAAGGGATTATGATATTCAAGAGAAATTACTCCCAAGAGTTAAAACAAGTTATATCTGTATGCTTGTAGCACACAGTTTATCATTAAATATTTCCCGAAAAATGAAAGAATTCAATATTATGACAATTATTAATCGAATGTACATGCATTGCTTAATTTTGCCCTTTTCTTTTGTCCACGGCGTTAAAAAATTTCTCTGATTACAGTGTAAGAATTATGTTTATTTATCTAACAATTAAACTTTGAGTTAAAGTCCTTTCCTATCGCTTCTTAATTTCAACTTCCGGCCAGAAAGTATTTTTAGAATCACGTGTGAATGCAAATTTAAGGAGTAGTATTTAACCGCGAAGTTCTACTGTTTTAGTTAGAGAGAACCAGTGATTCTGCCTAGCACGTGTCCCCCTTTTTTAGGCGACTCTCTCTTAAGCTATAACTATGCTCGGCCGTACTTTAGGCCCTTGATAGCTTCGCAGTAATTAGCGTCAAGGGTCCAACTCTGTTAGAAGTTTGATAGCTTCGGCTATATCTTTTTAGTTAATATTAGTTTAGTTTAGTTGAGCTCGAGTGTCGGCTTTATTGTACAACTCCAAACGGAGTTCTGTTACACCTTATTGGAATAATAAAAGGGTTATTTCACCTTTCTTACTTGTTGTTTTCTATCCCACGAACTCAAGCGATTATTCGCTTACTAGTTCTTAAGATTCTTCACATTCAACTGTAACTTAGAAGTACACAGTACAGAATCTTGCAAGAGAAAATTACTTTAAATATTACTCATCTTTTTGAACATAGAAAACCAGCAAAGCTTTATTTTTAGGTAATTAAACTTTCCTATTTTATGGAAAATAATAGCAATATCAGTAATAATAATAAGAAGAAGAAGAAGAAAAATTCTCTTCTAAGTACTACAACAGTAAACGTGAACATAAAATTACCACTGTGCAATTATAGAAGAGTAAAAGTATCTGATTTACCGAATAGGGTTCCCCAAAGTACTGTAACAATAGGTATACTTTCAGCGAAATAGCAAGCAGCAATTCCTATTGCTCCAAGTAAGCATCCACTTGTAGTCACTAATCTAACGCCAAATTTGTGTCCAAGGTATCCCACTAACGGACCTGAGGATTGAAACATTTATTAACCTATTTATTTATATGAATTTGAGAAAAATTCATACCTAGGTATCCCAGTAGAATCAGATAATTCAAACACTGAAAATTCGAAATGTTCAATAAGTCAAACTGCATTCTTCCAATAAAGAAAAATGATTAAAAACTAATGTCTAATTCCCCCCCCCCTAATTTCAAATTTCTTTAACTCGAAATATATTCGATGAACTGCTTCGAAGATTTAGGTATTCAAGAACAATCCATCCATTAACAAGGAGTGTTCGCTAAAGTGGAACATCCGTTACGGTCGTTCGAGAGGGAGAGGTTTTTTTTGAATGGCGATGACATTTATTGTTATTATTATTATTTTACATTTCTTTCTTTATAAAGGGAAATTAGATGAGCCTAAACCACAGAGGTAAAGCGTCCAACAGCTTTTACAGAAATGGTATAAAATAGCTTGCATTGCTGCGGAATGATAATCTGCGTATTTAGTCCTCTCCATTAACTTCTATTTTGCTATTGTGAATTTACGAAACATTAAGTAATCTAAAGAAAACTCTAACTTGATGAGAATCATGATCCATATTTTTGCTTTAGAATAAAGAAAAACCAAGTTTTCTGACTTTATACAATTTCAATTCCTGCAGCTTACTAAGCTCTGTACTTGAATCTTTCTGCTTAATATTACTCTGCTTTTTAAATTATATTTACACGTACATTAACATGGAATACCAGGCTTTTTTAAGCGCAGTTTAATCAACTGTCTCGCTAACTCGAATTTCCGACTGCTCAGAATTAGCTTCTGCTGTCTTCTTACAGTGCATGCTGAAGTTCGATGGTAAATTAAATAACTTTTAAATTAAACAGATACCACGAATTATACGGAATCAATTCTATGAAACCGAAGGAAAAAGAACACGAATTTCTTTTTAAAAATGGTTAAAACCTAGCATTTCAAATATATAGTCAAGTAACTGTATACTAACCTGATGTGTTTCTCATAAAATTGGCGAAAGTATATGGGAAAGATGCTTCTTCTCGTCCGACACCGAAACGGGGCACAGAAGCTACAAAAAGTACCCCCGATAATCGGGCCATCCCATACATCATCATGTTGATGAAACAGCACGCCACAGCTATAATCCAACTGTTGAGGCTATCGGGACCCGTGCGTTTCATTTTGTCAGTTCTTTAACTGCAAAATAAAAATATATTAAAGTGTATATTATTTGAAGTTGGCAACTATAGCCCAAATTTCTGTGTAATGTGAGAAAAACAGTTATGGAAATTTTACTTTTTATTACTCTATACTAGTATATTTATTTTTCTCTTCTCCTGTTTTCGAAAACAAAGCTACATAAAATTATTGGGTGTACAAATAAGTTTTGAGGGATTTAACATAAGATGGTGTTACTAGTAACCAATCCTATCGGATAATCTTGTAACTATATTCCTGTTAAAGCGTCAGCATTTATGTCTAAAAATCAGTCTGTTTCATTTCGCTGAAGTGTAAGCAACGAAATTTCTTTGTGCTCAACCCATGTCAACCTTTTGTACCAACAAAACAAAATTTGCGGAAGCTCTTCATTTTTATTTTAATTTGAAGAAAGGTGCAGCTGATGGACATCGATTGCTATGTGAATCATATAGGGAACATGCTTCATAAATAAAAAAACATGTGACCAGTAAAGTTTGGAGACGCTGAGTTGGAGGGGTTGTTGTACCAAGATTCATGCCAAACTCTAGAGAAGGTCGCCAAAACCTTGTGAGTGATCCAACAAGCGATTTCAAAGCGTCTCAAGACCATGAGTATGATGCGGAAACAAGGAAATTGGATTCCGCATGAACTCAAGCCAAGAGAAGTAGGACGCCGTTTTTTCACGTGCGAGCAACAAAGCAAAATTGGAAAGGGTTTTGCATGGAATCGTGATGGAGTATGAAAAATGGATCTACTATGACAATCCAAAAAGCAGAAAATCGTGGAGTAAGCCCGGCCATACATCAACTTCAACGGCCAAACCGCATATTCATGACAAGAAGCTAATGCTGTGCATCTGGTGGGACAAGCTCAGAGAACGTTACAAACTCACTGGGGAACGTTACAAACAACTTTCCAATTTCTCTGAATAAAACTTCAAAGTTACCAAAGGAAAAAAAAAAAAAACACGCTTAAAACTTATTTGTACACCCAATATTAACTTCAAGTGGCTAGTAGATCGTGCTTGCATTCTTCATCCACACGTCTATTAGTTTGGAATCACAACGAGTTAGTTAGTATTTATTAGTTTGAAAGCAATTAGCAACCCTGGTAATTGTACCTTTTGGATTAACATGGAGATTCTACTTCGTGTGACCCACTAAAGATGTGCAATGTATAACGAAAATATGCCGAAAGCTTGATACATAATTTAGTATTTAGTAATGATCACAATATAATCTGTATAACTATTGAGCCTGATACAGTTATATTTTCTTTTTAAACTAAAAGGTATTTATTAGAAAATAGAAATGGATATAGCAGTTTTTTTATTAAAAACATACTCTAAATACCTTTTCTATTAGGCGTAAAAGAATGTGTAACTATAGTGGTATATCACGGGTATGGCATAAATCATGTGTCAAAAAGTTTTGTCTTTGCGGCAATATCTATTGCAAAATAAGAGTTCCGCACTGAGCACATCCAAACTGGATCAGCTTGCTGTTCCTCAGTGCTGAATGATTTCAACTAGCTGAAGTGTTTCCTTGAATGTAAGCGGCTCGAAAACAACAGTGGTGGACTGGGTAAGAGTGATTCAGGAGAAACGTGAACGAAAAAGTGATTATTTCAGCCTTGGTCCAATTATATTGTAGTCACAGAGGACAAATGTGTAAAGGTAACTGAGATGTTTTATGTGGGTATTGAGACGAAAGCTGCTGTCCGTCAATGGTTCGGAAGGCAACCATTAAAACATGGATGGACAGGATTTGTAGATTGGCCCCGCAATGAGACAAATGTCTGATTGCTTATTGTGACTTCTCCTGAAGAAGAAATACTATGTCAAACCCCCTAAGGATGCCTGCATATAGTGCATAAAATGTAGTTAAATGCAATTATAACTTTCTAAAATTTTGCTCGCAAAATGAGTTTAGTACATCAAGCCATGTACATTTCGGTTGTGAGACACATTAACAGCTTTGAAGGATATATTTAAAATGTTCATTTGAACGTCTTGTTCTATTTTCACTTTTTTGTATATTACGGAGGGCAAAATTCATCATATATGCGCATGATAGATTAACATGTTAAATTATGCGCAATAATATAGTAAAGAAAATAATTCTCATTCCATATAAATCGATATAACTACTAACTAACTATATATTGGGAACTAGTAACCAGAAAGTTTGTTTTGCCAAAAATATTTTTGTAATTCAATCCGCTTTGTGACAAAAATTTTCGTCATGTTTCCACCTTGCGCGCATGATATTTTAAAAATGGCTAATGGTACATACTTGAAATTTGATGGAATTCTTTATACGGACACCATTTTCTAACTGCACCCAAAATCTGATGAATATTTTAATATTAAAAAAATTATGCAGGAAAACATTACAGATTGTTTTTAATAAAATACATTTTATAAACTCAACTCCAAATAAAATAAAAATTTAACAAGACATTCTGAGAATTTAAAAAAATATTTGTGGAAATACAAACTTTCTAATTACTATTTCAGAAAGCAGCTATATTACGTAATTACCTGTAAAAAGTTGGAAGTAATTGCTTTTAAAATAAATAAGTTATCCAAATTCTTGCAACAATCCCATACTCGAAGATCTTCTGGGCTGTAAGGTGTATGAGTCTCCTTAAGAGAGAATGTTTATAAATAGAGCGTTAAAGGGTTTAGAGAAAGTGTTAACAGAATAAAACGCAGTTGCTACTGTACCTGATGTAAAGAATGGCCGCAGTGCTACTTTTTTAAGCCCGGAGATAGTGGAGATTCATTCTTGCAAACAACACCTTTATGAACTCTGAGCTCAGCATATAAGATAACGATTTCACATTTTCAGATATTTATGCCCTTTTCTGCAGATTTTTACGATGCGTTCATCATGAAGGTAAAATACAAACAAATTTAATAGGTAGGGGGTAATTTTTTTACTACTGAATGACATAAACAGTTTTATTGTCCATAAATTGTAGAATTAGATACTGAGTACCTTATGCGGTATTCAGCTCAGTCAAAATGAAAGGTATTATTTAATAGCGCCTGATATATACTATATATCCTCTCAAAAGTTTTTGTGCAGACATAAAAGTATTACATAAGAGTCAAAAATGAACAAAGAGCTTAGACACCTCAGAACAAATTTAACTTACGCGGGATTTAGTCTCTTGTTCAAAACAAATAACCTAAATTTCCGTCTTGGTTATAATTTTCTTAAAATAGATAAATACATAATAATAAAAAAAATCCGAAAGGTTTCAGGTTTTGATGCTCGTCCAAAAGCGTTTGTGAGTGTTTTTTACGCTCTTACTTGTAATCTACCAGTAGGTTGTTGTGCACATCCTGCTAACTCATTAATTTTTGTCTTTTTAGCTTTATTATTAAGGATCATTTTCTTCGCACTGAAGATATATACAATTCATCAGCAAAATTACAAAAAATTAAACAGCAGCATGTGTTTAGAATTCCGATGAAGTGTGTTGGCATACATTTTTCTATTTTTTTCAGTCTTTTGTTATTTTATCATATCAATGCACAGTTTTCTTAGTAAGATGAATTGCAGAAGTTTTTTTACTTTTTATTATTAACGTTTTGTGTGTTAAATAAATAGCATGTTCTTCGCACTTACGCCACATAAAACTCAGTTGAATAGCAAAATCCCAAAATATTTAAAAAGAGCATACCTTTAGAATTTTTGATATATAGTCTCGCGCGCTGGAGATAACAATGTTTTAATCCGTACAGTACGGTGATTATATAGTGTTGCCACTGCTCGCATTCAAATCATTATATGTGTTAAAAGTTCATTAAAAGTTTATAAAATATGAAATATAAAATTCGATATTCAAAATTCGGGCTTCCAGGTACCCATGATCGTGTGGAAGGCTAAGTTGTTCAAACTTTGATAGCCCTAGGTAACGCCATCTTCTAACAGTCAGAGAAACATACGTACATTTATACAGATTCTGCATTATTTAATTTCTTTAAAAGTAGTTTCGCGGCACTAATTTGAAAAAATATTCAGACATTTAAAGTGACTCTCAGCCAAAACCGCTTCAAGACTAATAGCCCATTTGGGCTAACGCCCTTTGGATTAATAAATAAAATAACGTTCAAGATAAAAATTTTTAAAATTTTCATATAAATGAATATGTATAAGGAAATAGAAGTGAATATGACCATTAAAAGACTTTTAGCATATTTATTTATATTTATTGGAAAGCATTCAGCTTTTGTAAGTTATTTTAATAAGTTTGTCGCTGACTTTTTAACTTAATGGGCATAATCTCGAGGGTGAGGTAAGTTAAATACTTACTTCAGATAAAAAAAATGAAGGGAAATGTAGAATGTACCTATTAACGTGAATGTGTTAAAACTATTCAGCGAGATAATCCTTAGATTTGCCTCAAATATTAAAATCTAGCGACACTGGTCTGCTTACGGTTACGGCATTACCGATTAACCACGTGGTCTATATAAGAAAAAGTTAATTTCATTTATTGCAGAACGGGTGAAAAATTACTATTACAAAACACCAGAATAAAGCAAAATTTACACGGGAAATACAAAAAGGGGAAGAAAATGAGTGAAGTAACAGCAGTGATATCAGATGGTGTCTCAATAACTGTTGCGTGCGTACGGGTTCCTAATAGACTGAATGCAGAAGTCCGATAAAAAATTAATGAAATTTATTCTTATCACAAGAAATATAACAAAACGCTGAATTTTTCTTCAAAGATATTCTTACAATATCGCTATATCACGCAATATAATCAGCAGCTATAATTTAAACTACTAAAACATTAAATAGAATGCAATCCAAAGCGCAGAGAAAGCTAATCCGATCTCAGTGCAAATTCGCTACATTCAACAACAAGTAAGTAAACAACTGAACTGAGATCTCGAAGTGGGGTATTCCACTGTGGGCCTGGAAGTTTGACTGATACCTAAGCTGAGTCCAAGACGAACAGTTGAAAGTTCCAAGTTCCTCTTTTGCCGTGATTATTAAGCAAAACGCATGATTTGTTCCGGCTAGTAACAAACAAATAATAATTCAAATAGGTGTTGAAAGTGTAGGAGAAATGACCATGGTCACGTGAGAAGGTAGTGACATCGGATTGGCTGGGTCCTTTTCTATTAAAATTAGATGAAAGACTCAAAAATTCCATGAATAATTAAATAAAATAATTAATCTTGAGTGGAGGTAATCTTCATCTGTCATGTCATGCAACAGCAGAGCAGCTTAGCTTTGCAAGTTTAAAATAAACACAAAAATTAAGTAGAAAAATCCTGGTTGTCTGTAAGGAGGAATGCAGCATAAGGTCGCAGATTACGATCTTCATTCATAATTTCATAATGGAATAAGTTAAAATGCATCATGTGGCTGAAGTCCAGTGCATTTTGGAAGAATTTCGTGTTGGTTTTGTGCAGATACTTGGATAGTGCTTCGATATTTAGATCGTCATGAAGACTTATTTTTGACAAACATGTTAGCATTAGTCATAATTCTAAGGAATTTGCTTTGCACAGCTGTAGTTTATTTGTATCATTTTTTGAAGCCGTTGTCCAAGCAGGAGAAGGGTATGACATGATTCTTACAATGGACAGATAAATCAAGTGTTTTTTGGCAAGATGTAAGTTTGAATATTTGCTGATGAGCGGCTAGAGACATTCCATAACTTTAGTAGCTTTACTTGTGATGTGCTGGATATGATGAGTCAGTTTGTCGGATAGTCAGTTTGTTATTTAAAATGACACCCAGATAGCTCCAGATAGATAGATAAATGACCAGATAGGTTGCTTCAAGATGGGGACGGGTTCGTCTAAAAGTGTAAGATTTTTCTTAATAGGAATATTTTTCTTTTTCTTTCTAATAATAAGGAGTTGAGACTTAGAAGTATTAACGAGAACATTCCAGTTGGCACACCTGGTTTCAATAGGAAGAATATGTTCTTGTAACTTTCGGATGGCAAAATTAATACTAGCAGATATCATAGCTAGCGAAGTGTCATCAACATAACAGGCAAGCATATTATTATTAATGCAACTGAGTTTGCGAAAGTCAGTTACATTAAATAAGTACAAAATTGGTCCAGTTACCAAACCATGGAGCAATCCTGCCTGTATTACTCTAAAATTGGGGAGATCTTTACCAACAGAGACCCAAAAGGTGCGTTGAGTAATAAAAGAGAGAAGCACCAAGGTGTGTTCTCTATCGAAGTTGAGCAGAATCAATTTGGAGAGTAAACCTTCATGCTAGTCGCGGTCAAAACCTTTGGACCCGTTTATCGTGAGAATAGCAACATTTAAATTAACATGAAGTGCAGCACCTCAGAATTCAGTAATCATGAGTAACTGTTTCGTAGTGGAAAGTCCTTCTCTAAAATCGAATTGCTCGGGAGGTAGGAGGTGAAAGTAAGGCTTGATTCTATTTAAAATAACACGTTCAAAGATTTTTCCAAAGTCCATGAAGTAAACTAATTGGACGATAGCCGCCTGTTTGCGTGTGTTTCTTTCCAGGTTTCGGGATGAGTATGATTTTTTCAGATTTCCATGGCGTGGGAAAATGCGAAGTCATGAGAATTTTATATTTTTAATGAGTGACCAGAAGGGACCATTTTTAGTATCAGATTTGTGAGCATGTCGTACCATAAACTGTCCTTATGTGCTTTGATGTCATTTTTGATGTCCTTATTTAGTCTGTCAATAACACATTTAACAGGGCCCATCAACAGCCGAGTGGTAAAGCCGCTGAACACTTCCCTTAGAAAGTCCTCCGCGAAGGCATTCCTCCCCTTAGACAGATAGCCCTCGAGGCTTTGCCATAATCACATACACAGACATTTAACAGCCGGATTCCAGGTGAGGTGATGGGCAGAATTTCGAAGAGGATGAGGTGAGTAAAGTACTTACTTCAGATAAAAATGAGAGGAAATACAGAACGTAACTATAAACGTGAATATGATAAAAATATTCAGCGAGATAATTCTTAGATTTGCCTCAAATACTAAAATCTATAAAAAGAAAATCGGCATATCTTTAGAATTTCCGATACGCAGTTTCGTGCGCTGGAAACACAAGTGTTTTTTACTTACAGTATTTTCACTGCTCGATTTGAAATCGTTGAGTTTGTAAATCAAAAACTTGTTAAAGTTTTACAAAATATGAAATAGATAATAAAACAAATTCGAAATTTAAAATTTGGGCTTCTAGGTGTTCATATTCGGGTGGAGGACTACGTTATTCAAAATTTGAGGGCTCTATGTGCCGCTGTTTTTCACAATGCAAAAAACATGCATACATTCATGCAAATTATTCATTATTAAATTTATTTAAATACTCTAGCCGCTACGCAGCCAGCATTCCTTTGGCTTCTAAATGTACTGGGAAAATGCCTAAAGGGAACACCAAACGTTAAATTTAAAAACTGCGCAGAATTTTACTCTGCGCAGGGTAACGTTATCCCCCCCGGAAAAAAATATAAAAAAATGTATTACATATAAAAAATACAATGAAATAAGCAATATCCCTTAATACAAATATTAATTATCGTAATAAATAAATTAACTAATTTTCCGTTGCCTTCTCTCGACAAACGTGACAAACGTCCAGTATCCAAGCGAAATATTAAATCTGAAAACTGCACAGAATTATCCCCCTCATTTTTCCGAGTGGCAACAGTGCTGATATCACGAACAATGGCAACAG